ATTAAGAATGAACAACAAAACTTGTTTTGTTCCATCTCCTCAAACCTATTTCTTTCCACTCACCCTTCACCGTAATATGATTGATGGAGCATAAAGATAAAAGGGTGAGAACCAACCACAAAACTAGATTACACAGTCTCCTTGTAAATTAGTCCCATAATGAGCATGGGCCATTACGAAAAAGAAATTCAGGAAACAAACTTTAAAAATATTATAAAATGAAATATCTCTTATTTTAAGCCAGATGTGCACAAGGATAGGAACAAAAAACCCTTATAAATCAGTATTTTCCCTAGAAACTACTGAACCTATTACTGACATATAGAAGCAGAGTATTTCCACAGAACTCTAATATACTTCTACTCCATCATGCAGATTGTCATACTGTTGCAAATAATGAATTTCTACGATAATGTATTAGGTCGAACCATACGAAATTGCCATTTTTGTAGCTCAAAGATGGCTGGATATTGATACTAATTTTGCAGGTCAAAATAGTTGGATGTTGGCAACTTCATATGATTCAAACTTTATTATTATTTGGCCGATTTTTTCCCCATGTTCTCATGACTTTAGGAATATATCATAAATATATATCAGGGATGCTTATGATCAGAGCAAAAATCACTAAGAGTTCCAAGTTTTCAGTTGGAATTAAATTTCTTGATCAAGAGTTTTTGCCCCCTCCCCATTTTTATGAGCTTTACGTACCACATCATATTTCAAGTGGCATCATATGAGAACAAATTCTTGGAGAACTGAACCTGATCTTCTGGTTTCTGCTAAATACAGATAATCTTAGAATATACAGCTGAAAAAAGCCAAACTTCTCTGCTATTCTTCTCTTCCAAGCACTTGATCCACATCCTTTCTTCCTTTCACATTCTTGCATCTGAGTGGCCTGGTTAGATAATTCAGAAGGAAGAGGGCACCCTGGATATGACATTTGACCTTTTCAAAATCTCAAACATTTGAAAAAAGGGCTTGAAGTGTATTTTCCATCTCATCCAATCTCTGGGGCTCTTGTATCTTGATAAATGCAAAGTAACCCTTATAAATTAGATTACCACATAGAAAGTAATATCCAAACTACCTTTCACCATGACTTCAATTCTCCCATTTCAGCTGTACAGAATGTACATGAAGCAACAAACTTTTCAGATGCAAAATGAAGAAAACCTTCCTTCTATTCCCTTCTATAATTTCCAACATTCCATTCCTTTTCTGATTTGTCTCTGATCAGCAAAGCTGTGGAAATATTAAGCCTGTGAGGAGAGCTTTCACATATAAAACCTATGCCAATTTCTTAAATCATACCCAACTGGAGAACAATAGTGTAAATCCTCATATTTTAAAGGAAATTCCATAACGGATGAAAATAACAAGGGTCATATGTTTACAAATGGCAATTCCAGTACCTCACTAGCTGATATCAATACAGTTTGGAAAGAAGGGTATTATTTTATACATGATAAGGAGTATAGACCAAATAAACTCTTCTCTAAATTATAGTAACTAAAAACTGTCAATGAGCATTTATAATACTGTAGACCTTTTAGGATTTCAGCTCCAAGTAAATGGATCTGACTCATCTGGACAGAGGTTTTAGCAGAAGTGGAACTGTCTAACATGCACTACACTGATTAAAAACATTCTAAATCATGATTTATCTATGCTTACATCATTGCCAAAATGATTCATCTGTGTAGGATATATTCTTATTGCCAGAGATGTCACGTATTGTCTTGGCTAGAAACACACAGTCACATCCCATTATGGTGAACTCTCAGAGTTTATCCAAATTCTTTTCTCTTCTGGAATTTTGTCAGGTTAATACTGCTTGACACACGTGGTCTTAAAATTTTCCATTCTAAATTTACTGTCATTTTGGCATTTGGCTCTATCTGGCCTTATGTGACCAGCATCACACTGAGAATGTTTAGTTTGTCAAATTTTAAATCTATAGCTTTTATCACATTATAGAACTACTGATAGCAAAGTAAATGTCTGCATTTGAGACACTTTGCTTTCTAATGAAGCTATATATATTTTTATTTGATTTGATATTGTATTTATATAATAAAAAGTTTTGCTTAAATCTGCTTAGGTTAAGCATAGCCATTTTATGTTATTGACAGGCAAATTTAAATACTGACTAGTTTATTGACTTGTAGCGCAAAATCCTTAGCACTGCATTTTTTCTTGACCATTTGAAATATTTATTGGCATTTTAGACTGGTCATCAAAAAACAGAATTAAACATTGGCCTTGAATGCAACATTTACGAACCTCCTCTTGCTTATATTTCATTTTACAATCAAACTCTAAGAATGAAAAGTTTATCTGAGAAATACAGAAGGGCAACCATCCTAAATCCAGGCACTATTAGCTTTATGAGCATATTAAGCACCCATTACATTGTGCAAGTATTTATTGCGATTGGCCTTAGCTACTAAAATTCGTAGCTTCCTTTCATGTTGTGACTAAGTAATTTGAGAACTCTTTGGGCTGAAAATGTACAGAAAAGTTGCACACTGACTGTCAGCAGGGAAAACTGCCATCAAATCAATGCATGTAACAGTCCTCACAAATTGCAAACAAGGGAGTATTGGGCACCTGCAGCGCTTGGTCTCTTTCACTGCAAATGCCAGATTTTTCTGAATTGAACTCTGATGTAAAGTTCAGTGATACTCAGTCTCCGTGGAGTCGTGGCACTACTACTTTTGGATTTGTTTTTTAAAGACACTCCCCTGCTAACAGCATCTTTCTATCCCACCATCGCTTACCTGCTTCCCTGTACCAATACTATCTGGCATATTTTTTGTGTGTTGACTTTCACTTATCATATTTAAAACTTCCTTAAAAAGTACAGGACTTGCCAGTTAGCTCAGTTGGTAGAGCATGGTGCTGGTAACACCAAGGTCAAGGGTTCAGATCCCCATACTGGCCAGCGGCCAAGAAAAAAGTAAAAGGTACAAAAATAGGTTTTAAGGAGTTTTAAATATTGTAATTTATTTTATTTAATAAGATTAATTTTAAGAAGTTTTGAATATTGTAATTTCATTTTACTTAGTACAATTAATTTTTAAGTTTTAAATATTGTAACATGCTTTGAGCTCCCTGGTAACAACTTTGAGTGTCATAAAACCAGTACAGATAGGTTTTTTTCTAGCTCCAACATCCTTTTGTCCTCACCTTAAGAAACTTACTATCTCTCTTCAGTTCCCCACCCTTTTCTTATTCCTGTTTATCATCTCCCATAAAAGCAACAAAACCATTATGTTTTTAAAATGAAAAGCTATAAAAAACCAAAAATTCCCCCCAAATCCCCCAAACACTCAAGCATATGACTAATCATGAGCAAAACATCTTAATTTAAATCTTAACTCAAGCCTCTGTGGAAGCTACTAATACTCAGTCCTGCTCACTCTTCAAGGAACTTCCCTGTATTCCACGATCGACCCATATGGTCTTGGGATTATTTTAAACAGGCAAGTTATACTGCCTTCCAAACAGACTGCATTCAGGAAAAACTACAGCAGTCTCCTTCCTGTCGTTTTTCAGCAGTGACAAGTAAACTGATCTAGCAAATTTTCAGGCTGCTTAGTTGCCCCACAGTGCCCCACTTTTCACAAAAGCTACTAGTATATGTTTATTGTCTAGGTCTCAGTTCCCGTAGGCCACAGACCATCGAGGGCAGAATGTAATCCTGTGGCCTTGCAGCCCAACCAGCCCTGCTTATCATTTCGCCATAGTGCAGCTGAAATTTCCTGAGGAAATTCTTTTCTTTTCTACTACTCCAAAACAGGGCATAAGGCATACTAATAAATTCAACCATGGTTATTTCCTAGTCAACGAAATGCCACTTCATTTGTCATGTTAGTATCTGATTCCAAATGACATTTTAATTTTGCTAACGGAATTGATGAGAAATTGTCACAGAAAAGAGGACAAACTAACTGCTTGAATCCTTGGCCCACAGGAACCCTGCCATGAGGCTTGTTGGGCATGCCATCTTTTATACCAGATGGACAGAGCAACCGATGTTATGTTATGACCACTGTGACTTTGTTTTGACCATTGTCTCTGTGAGGGTATTCCTGCAGCCCCTCAGAGTGAAAACACTGAAAGCACATCATCACTGTCACTGTCCCTTTAAAACATTCTCCTGAGTTCATTTGTAGCAAGAACAGGAAAATAGTTACCTTCTTACTGATATCTCACATGTTGCTTTTAAAGTTCCTGTACATTTATCATGTGGGGAAACTAAGGGTAGCAGATACCATAATTGCCCAATCCATGTATCCTCTCATTTACAATTCTTCAGCTTCTCGAAGGCTTCTTACTACAAAGTCACCTGAGGCCTTTCTCTGGCTGCAGGAGTATGCTTATTCTTCCCGGGGTAGTGCTGGGGAGTTAACTGCCCTGGGGAGCAGCCCTCAATGAATCACACACAGGGTTTCCGGGTAAACAGTCCAGCTTCCTTACTCCTCAGGGAGGACCTCTCTGAGGTATGTTCTACAAGGTCTCCTAAAGGTCCCCAGTGAGACTGAGCCATAGGTGCCCATAGCAGTAACCTGCTCATTAACACACCTTGAACTCTCTGTCTTCCTGTCTCACTTCCTCACTCCCACATGGGTGCTTATTGGGCTCACCTCCCAAATAAACTACTTGTATCTAAATCCTTGTCTCAGGGTCTGCTTCTGCGGAACCAACCTAAAACACTGGGGCACAGAGAAGATTAATATCTGTTAAATACCACATAGCTACTTAATGAAGAACCAGGGCTGGAACCCAGGACTTTGAAATTCTGGCACATTTACTAAATTAGGTTGCCTTTTGCCAATGACCAGCACTTTGTAGAATTGATCCCAGGTCTTCTGGGCAAAACGAAGACACTATAAATGAAACAAAGTTGTTAGATGGCTACTCCTGGCCCTTTGGAAATCCAGTTACCACCACCAGCAAGAGGAAACAGAAAAATGAAGGGTAGTAATTACCTAGCATGACGAAAGGGACTCCCAGGAAGGTGGAATTGTATTTCCCACCAGTAAGATTGATGATCCCGGCTGCAGTGAGAGTGGCCAGGCTTATGGTCACCAACCCAAGCAGGCCTAGCCAGGGTTTGCTGCGGACACAGTCCTGCATAGAGCAGCAGAGGATGGCCATGGTGACCACCAGGATCAGGCTGGTGACCAGATAACGTTCTGACACGCGACTGGTCTTCTGGAAATCTTCCCTCAGTGACGAGGATGTGTAAGGGTACATTTTGACTTTGCTGTTAGACTTCTGGAACAGTCTGACAGTGTCACAGAAGCTAGATTCCCACCTCTCGGCCACCATGTCATTGAGACTGTTGATTGACTGCAGGTAGTAGGTGAGCTGGATGGCTTCTGCAGATTTCACCCGGTCTTTGCTGTGCACAGTGACGCCCCCAAGCTGGTGCCCATTGTACACGGCCCTCCCATCCTTTAAGTGCGTGATCGGGTACGTGATAGCAAAATTGGTCCGATTGGTGGCCCGAGCATTCTTTAGCTCTTCCAGGACGTGCACTATGTCATCCACGATGCAAGTCTTATCATTATTCAGGATACATATGTGGGCAAACGTGTAATTAAAACCAGGCCTTGGAACCTGGATCTTGGTCACAGCAGCATGCAACTATGGAGAAAAAAAGACAGCGTTTATTACTAAAAATTAGGCAGTAGTAAGTGACATTAACTCTGTGGGTTCAAATATTTCTATTTTTGGGGGAGGGTGGAGTCATTTATTCCATCTCTAAGCTAAAGAGTTCAAATTAAATGTTATAACCTTAGATCAAACATAAATAGTAGGGATGCAAAGCACACACTTGACTAGTGGTTCTCACAGTGTTGCCCCTGGACCGGCAGCATCGGCACAACCTGGGAGCTTGTCCGAAATGAAAATTCTGAGGCCCCACCCCAGACCTGGTAAATCAGAATCTCTGGGGTGGGGCCTAGGAATCCAGGTTTTCACAAGCCCTCCAGGGGATTCTGGTGCAGCTAAAGTTTGAGAAGTGCTACATTAAAGCACCAACGTCATTTCCACATGTTCTTTATCTGTGACCCAATTGGTCTATAATGTTTGAAAATCTTATATAGGTCCCCTGTTCAGTCTCCCTCTTGAAAATATAATGTAGAAAGTGAACTAAGGTGTGGTTCTGAATGCAGAGGTCCTCTGCAGGCCCATCTCTTGTTGCCGATTTGCAGGGCAGATAAATGGTCTCTTCCAATTCACTCACTCTGTACCATGGAAAAACAAGAGGTTCACCTTGGTGGTCCTTGTATTCTCTGTCTTTCATTGTCTGCATACGTGGGAAGGGAACGGTGACTGTAAGAGCTTGGCTAGGATTCATGGCAATCATGCTAAAGGAGCACAATGGGATTTATTCTACACACCTTGCCCCATGTCAAATTCGCTGTGGCCAAGTACGGTATGCCTGCCATCAAAGTGCAGCTGAGGATACAAACATTAATTTAATAGGCCCTAATACATGCCAGGCCCAGTTCTAGGCCCTTTATACAGACAAACTCATATAATCCTTAAAACAAACTACAAAGTAGGTACAAGTACTAGCCTCATTTTACAGATGAGGGAACTGAGACACAGAGAAGCCAAGTCACTTGCCCAAGGTCACACACATAATAAGAGACAGAGCTGGGCTATACCAGGCAGTCTGTCTCCAGAACCTGTGCTCTTAGCTCCTCACCATACACCTCCAGTTTGGCAATACCAGCAGCTAAAGGAAGGTTCTGGCCAGCAACTAATTCCTGAATTTGTGCCTTTACCACTCCCCCCTAAAAATCACATTTGCTCAAGTTCAGATATGGAGGAGTATGTGTAATCTACTGTCTAAGATGAGAAAACAAAGCAGTGGGGCGGGGGCAGTGGGAGTAAGGGACTCCTACCATGTGTCAGGGCTTCACACCTTAAATCCTTTCAAAAATTCATTTTACAGATAAGAAAACTAAGGTTTGGGGAGGCCATGCTGGTAGGGGTGGTAGAGCTAATTGCTGTGGCATCATTTTACTTACTATTTCAGTTGTAGCAACATGGGTCCCTAATTTAACTGTTTCGACTAGTAAGCCACTTATCCTCATGGTGGTTTTGCCTTCTCTGTGTAAAATGTGGCCAGCCTACAGAATGAGGCTGGTGACAGACATGTACTTGGGTGTTAGGTAAGTAAGTACATCTAGGACTGTGCCTAGCACTGAGTGGGCTCTCCCAAGAGCACAGGTAGCCATTACTGCATATCTGATGAATAAAGAACATTTCATATGTAAAGAAAATAGAATTGAACATCCAAAGGAAATGGAATTGGACATCCATAGAGTTGCCATACTGTGGCTGTGCTATTACACCTCATAACCTTCTGAGCATCTCCATGACCCTGCAATATTTTCTCTCACATCTGTTCTAGATGGATGATTTGTTAAGATATTTTGCTGTGTATGTGCCTGGGTGAGTGGGATATTAAGGATTTAAAAAAAAATGTCTGAGGGGCATCAGCTGTCAAAGCCCTTTCCTTAGCACAGAGCATGAATTGTTATTCCTAATTCTCAGTGCCCCATTCCCCCACATCTCTTCATAGGTATCAATCCTCAGATTCAGAAAACACTTTGTTGAATTATGTTTGGCTGAAATACTTGAGTTCTTTCATATATATGTATATGTATGTGTGTGTATACACACACACACACACATATATATACACACACACACCAAGTATATACATATACTTGGTCTCCCAGAGATATCTGATATTGAGGAGGCTTTTTTACTATCCTAACCATATGCCAAATTTTTGTTTTGACACTTTGGGATTAATGGTGAGCAAAATATCTTTGATTGTTTTAAGCTATGAAAGTGTGTTTTCATCCATTCTTCTCTAAGCATGGCCCAGTGAATTTTGATTAAAAGAACTCCTAACTTTAAAAAAATTCCAAAATATAAAAGGTTATTTTGGAAGAGAGAAGAACCAAGAGGAATTTAAAGATGGGAGAATTTTGATAAGAATTAAAAGAAAGACTTTGGGGAAAGATTTAGAAAAGACTAGAAAAGGAGTGGTATTGAAAGCATGCATATGTGTAATATTTAGTGCATTGTTTGTTCCCATGAGCAGTGTAATAAATCTCCCTTAGAGTGATTACTAAATATGTCAAGAGAAAAAGATTGCCAAATAAGATGGTGTTAAGCCACAGGGCTGAACCCAATTATAGCAAGGGGATATTTTCCATCCATTCTCTAAGGCGACCATGCACTGCTGGGTGGGGAGTTGTAAACTATTTAGTGAACTGCCAACTCTTCAGATCTACTGCTATGACCCCTGGGACCATTCACCGAAGAAAGCAGACAGCATGTTAACCCCCGTACCACCAGACCATAGGAGAGAGTCTTGGAAAATAAAAATCTTACTGAAAATTGGAAGAGAAGGTTTCTTAAGTCTCGGCACCAGAGCTGCTATGAGATGCAGCTGCTTTGAATTTCCGATAGAGTGGTGGGTAGAACATGTGTCACTCTTGCTTCTGACTGGCAGGGTGATGCAGAGTGACAAAGCAGCCAGAGAGGGCTGAGGCCACCCACCTGGCAGGGGAAGTCTGTGGGATTCTACTGCCGGAGAAGAGGTGAGAGGATAATAAGAGGCATTGGAAAAGAGAGTTGAGAATCCCTTTTATGGCTTTTGAAATGGCTCAGTTCTGATCTTTGCTTCTTATGACTACACATCAAAACACACACAATCCACTCTTGGATGTCCACATAGCCATGGACACACTCTGTACATGCTGCCTGTACAGGGTTTTAGGATTCCCTGATTTATTTTCCTGAGCCCAGCTCAGGGCAGTAGAAACATTGGTAGGTGTCCTAATCTGTGGTAACAGATATATTCACAAGAAAAAAGGAAGGCAGAGATCAAAGCTATGCTTCAGATAATTCACAGAATGGACAACTGCAATCCACACAAGCTTATAATAAAATTAGGTAAGAGACCCCCTTCTCAGAAAAGGAAGGAAAAATGGCATGAAGGAATAGTCCTAACCCTTAACATAGTCTGAATTTGTCATGCAAATCAACATATAATCCATGTTCCTATAACTATGTATAGATTCTAAATTATTCGCTCAAAACACATTCAATAAGTACTCATCAAATCTACTGTGTTGTCAATAATAGGATAATTTCGCTGCATTTAGCATGCTTGAACTCACACATGGAAAATCATGAGATGTGATTGTCCAAAATGAATGGAAGGTCTAACAGTCAACAATGCCAAGAGCTTTGTACGAGTAAAGCCCAATCCAATGTCAATTCTGATTGCAATATTTTTTATTATTATGGTATAGATGGCCCCTTACTTACGATGGCTTGACTTACAATTTTTCAACTTTACGATGGTCCAAGAGCAATACACGTTCAGTAGAACATCAAGTTACATGAGATATTCAACACTTTATTTGTATTAGATGATTTTGCCCAACTATGGGCTAATGTAAGTGTTCTGAGCACGTTTAAGGAAGGCTAAGCCAAGCAATGATATTCAGTAGGTTAGGTGTATTAAATGCATTTTTGTCTTACGATATTTTCAATTTATGATGTATTCATTGGGATGTCACCCCATAGTAAGTCGAGAAGCATCTATTATTTGCTGCCAAAGAGGTCAGAACAGAATGTTAAACTGAGATTCATTCTAAGGCTCTGAACATACCATTTAAATTGTTAGCTTCTTTGCTCTCATTACCCTTCAAGTTAAGAATGATAATAATAATAGTAACAGTCTGCTAAGTACTTTCTGTACAGTTTTTAAAATGTATTCAATACAAAGACTCTATGAAAATGGTTAAATTATACCCCCACTTTACAGCTGGAGCAACTGAGGCCTAAAAAATCTCAATAACTCACCTAAGATGATCAAGTAAGTAAAGGGCAGATGCAGGATTCTAAATCAGGCCTTACTCCATAGCAGGACACTTAGCCCTAGAGCAACACAAATTTGGCATTGAGGATGAAGAAAACTTGCGGAAGAATGAAGAAGTATCAGCCCACCTGGTTCAAATGACTGGCGGTAGATGTGACTGAGCTGTGAGATGGTGACACTTGGAGAACTGGGGTTCAATAAGAGAGGCCAGAAATAATCCAAACAGCCTAACCTCATTTTCAGACAGCAACTTTACACGGCAATAATAACAGATAATAAAGGGGATGAGTTTTGAGTTTACTGACTTCTAATTCTCTGTCTAGCCTCTGGAGTTACCAAATAAAACTTTTTTTTTCAGGTTTCAAACAGTTTTATTTATTTATTTATTTATTTATTTTTATTGGTTATGAATATTCATGGGGTACAAAGCTGATTGTCACCAAGATGTGAGGGCCAGATCCATACTGGCAGCACGCCCATTACCATAAATTGCGATTATACCCTGTGTCCCCACCCAATTATCCCCGACCTCCCTCCCCATCTCCCTTTCCCCCACTCCACTTTGTATCCCTAGGTATGCTCTCTCCCTCTGCAAGTCCAACACACCACTGTGGTCTTTCTTTCCTTCCTTCTTTCTCTCTTAGCTCCCACTTATGAGTGAGCACATGCAGTATTTACCCCTCTGTGCTTTGCTTATTTCACTCAACATAAGCTTCTACAAGCTCAT